TAAACGTATTTCATTAGTAATAATCAGTTGTAACAAAATCGTTAAATTTGGAGCAAGCCAATTTTTTTCTAGAATTCACTTAACCTACGAAATAGCACATACATTCTCTGCGAAGGTCTCAAGGTTGCATTTACTAAACGATTTGTTATATTTCAGCGTCTTATATGATTGCACATATCCAATTAGAGAACAGCCTTTCGTGTTATTCTACCACAGCTTAAATTCAGTCGGAGCCCAGCTCCGCAACGTCTCAGATTCGGAACGAAATTGTAATTACGGCCGAAGCCCTAAATAACATGACTTTGAGTATATTTAACTATTTGTTATTAATTTAACTTATTTCATTGATTGTTTGTTTATCTCTTTTCGTATCATATTATTTAATTTAATAACTATTTATTATTTTAATGACTGTTTTTTTTAATTTATTTTTTTCGACTGCTTTTCATAAGGCTCGGGCACTTGTAATTCAAAAATTAAACCCTATATTATTCATATCAATAACACGGAAAATTACAAATATCTATAAGAAAAAGCAAAGTTTCCTTTATTTCTAAAATTTTTACTGCATTTTTATTATTTAAGAACTTTAAATTCAGTAACATTATCTTACTCGACAACGCTTAGGGGATGACATACTGACTTTTAAATTTACAAAACTAAGTGTCGTAATGTTAGCTTAATTTGACTCCTTCCGGCATGCTAGACATAAAATGAAGGCTAATACAAATCTTTTATGCTTTTTCTTATACGCTAATATAAATCTTTTATGTACACATTCTGCCTTTTACAGTACTTTTGCAAGTTACATGGTAAGTAAATTCATTTTGATTGAAATTCCTGAATAAAATTAAACATAAGCAAATCTGCCATACGCAATACTCCTGGCAGCATATAAGCATTCCCTACCGCGCCGTGTGCTTAGGGTAAAACCGTCCTTGTAATTGGACATAACTTTCCGACGGCATTATGTTCTCTATGCTTGGGAACGCCTTAGCGTAATGACGTTTAGTTGGTATTCTTATGGTTTTATTTTTGCTGAATGATGCGCATGAGTGATTCGGATGTGTGAAAATTATCGTTTGTTTTCTTTGAAAACTAATGCCAGAAGAAAAAAAATTGATATGCTGCTTTATGCAGATGGTCCTCCTGTTCTATGGAATAATAAAATTATAAAATCCTCCAAAAATGCTGTTGATTTCAGAAGCACTCTTAACTGCTTAGATTATATAAATAGTTGAGTTCATGAATTTAGTGCAAACACCCGGATTGCACGACGATCTCGATCTAGCTGTAAACGTATTGTCTGCTCGTAATTACACTGACAAGCCAAAGCATTATGACCATCTCCAAATTTTTCAATGAATTCGTCTGGATGACGCGGAGGGCACGTAATTAAACGGGAATGGTATTTAACTGGTGCTGCTGGACAAGATAAGGGAGTCATTCTTGCACTTACTTTTTCGAGTAATGAGAAAGGCTGCTGATCTAAGCGAATTTAATACAGGGTAAATTGTAATAGCCCGAAGACTCGGAACAAGTATCTCCGAAACTGCACGATTGGTAGGTTTTTCACGATCTGCTGTTGTTAGTATTTATGCAAAGTGGATAAATGACGGTGAAACCGGCAGTAGACTCAAGGTGTTCGACGTCCACTCGCCATCAAAGGAGAAAGACGTCGAAGACTGTCCCGCTTAATACAACAAAATCGGCGCCAAACAGTGGCTCAGCTTACAGCGCAATAGAGTGAAATCTAAGTGCCCTGTTGGATATGGGACTTTGCAGCAGACGTCCCACTAGTGTACTTCTGTTAACCAAGCGTCATTGTCAGCTACAATGGGCCCGGGAACATCGAGACTGGACCATGGATAAGAGAAGGACAGTTGCCTGGTCAGATGAATCACGATTTATCATTCATCACGTCGATGGTCGTGTCAGGGTACGCCGTCTTCTAGGAGAACAGTTTCTCTCTCCCCGTACAGCAGGTCATGCACAGGCTGGTGGTGCAGTATTATGCTTTGGGGGACGTTCTCATTGGCAGCTGTGGGAGCCTTAGTTGTCGTAGAACAGACCATGAAAGCTTCCGACTGTCTGAACATACTTGTGTATCAGCTGCACCTTTACATGGCATCTGGAAATGGAATCTTCCAGCAGGACAGCGCTCCATGTCACAAGGGTCGAATTATGGTGGAATGGTTTGAGGAGCATAAGGATGAATTCCAGTTAATGTCCTGGGCACACAGCCAAAAGTCGCGCAACGCGTTATTGAGTGGTGGTCATAATGTGTTATTTCCACGTTTATGTCCATGTCTTTCACGTTTCTAATATTTTATTAGCTTAAATAAATAAAAAGTGCGTTCAGTATTATATTATTGCTGACTTTAATACACGTGTATAAGAAAATAAACGTCCTTCTGTGTCCTCCTACTTTTATACGAAACTACGAAACATGTTACACATTAAAAAATGGGCAATTCGTAAAGTAATATCTAGATAATAAAATATAAATTCAAACATACGTATCTCTGTTTCAGATCTACTCCACTTTCAAAAATAAATTTGACTTTTTTGGACTGACGACAAATATCGGGAACTTACTGTGTATCATGTTAGCTTTTTTCGTTCTTGCTATTCGTGAAAACTGATTTGTATCATGATTAGTTTATTAACAGTATTAGTCTTTTCGGTACTGCTCTCAAAATGTAAACAAAACGATGTGAAGTCCAAGCAATGTCAAGGCTTTTTTCAGTTTCATGTTGCTGGCCCCGAGAGGGCGAAGATTTTTTATTTTATGTTTATTACTTTTTCCTACCATTTTGCGGAATTTTTGATTGAGATGTAGTGGCAACGAAAGAAAATAACATGAATGTTCTTCTATAAGCAAACGAATTGTAAATAGCTGTAAATAAAATTTTCCGTGTGAAAAAATGGCAAAGAATTTCAAATATCCTGTGGATTTCTTCATTGAAAGGTAAGCAGAAAGATTTTCTTATCAAATACTGTTAGATCTTGAAGGTAAAAATAAGAAAATACAACTTAGGAATAATAAAACACAAAAAGGCATTCCTAAGCGCAGATCCATATCCAATCATGAAGACGGATTTTTCCTTACGCGAGCGGCGCCGTACGGAATGTTTATATGCCTCCCTGCATTTATTACCTTAAAAGTTACGAAACCGACAGAGTGAGTAGTTGATTGGTTGGTTAATGAATCAACAAGTGTGCGAAAGCTATCTTGCGAGAAATGTATACGTGGAGAAATTTCTAAGAGAAACTGGCTCGTACTCATATTAAATATGGGTAAACCTACGATTCTTCTTTGAGAACCCGAAATGAACTATTAGTATTCACTGGTCTTTCGGATTCGGCTATCGCAACTAACACTGAACACTATGGTCGCAACTAACACTGAAAATTAATCTGCAAAAGCAATCCATAATTGGGTAACTATATTGCTGTTTCATGGCATTTTGTTCAAAGATAAACGAAATTAACACTGATGGGTGCGTTATTTACCTATTTATTGTTATCTCGGGCTCATTTATTTATTTCTTGAAAATAGCGTATTCATGCATTCAAAAAGAATTTTAAGGATTCTTTGTTATTTTTTGTTTGGATACTACTAGGTTCATCTAGTAAATCCGTTTATTAATCAAAAGAACCTCAGCGTTTTTTTTTTTTTTTTTTTTTTCTTCCCAAAATGCGATATTTTGCTGAATGGTCAAAATATGCTTTAATTCCGTTTGCACTGTAACTAAACTGTCACCGATGATGTCACTTCAACTCCAACTCCAACTTCCTCTGTATGACGCGATTAACCTGCAAAGAATGCAGGTTGTATTCCGGCTATCTCAGATGCTTCGATGAGCGATTCAGGTAGGGAAATGCTGAAAGTAGGTCTCGGGAGGCAGGATATACTAGCGTCTACATCCCAAAACGGCAGCCTATGAGAGAGGCGATTCTATTATTTTCATCGGGGAGTAGGGAATTTAGAATGGTTTTCTGAGGAACGCCAGCGGCAGTGCAGAAAATTGCAAAGGTGGATTGCCTTAGTTTCTGCGGTTACTTTCAGGGAAATATTAGGCAGTTTTTTTTGGTTTGCTGATAGATGGCAAATAGATAATTTACCTTTATAAATCCGTGTTTATCTATTTAAACTTCAGAAGATTTAAGATGAAGTGAATATATTTAACACGACAGAACGCAAGCTTAAGACTTGTAAATCTTTTAAAAAACAATACATCGATAATTAAAAATATTATTTTATAGTTCATTACTAAAAACTTTTTAATAAATGTATAGTTATCATATAATTAACAATGCATCCATGCATTATCTCATTATTTATTATAATTAAAAGAGAAGATATTTTTTACAGTAATGTTTAAAAATTTGCTGTTTTTTTAAAGATTTGCAAGTCTTAAGATTGCGTTCTGTTGTGTTAAATTATTTCGCTTCATCTTAAATCTTCTGAAGTTTAAATAGATAAAAAGCGAATTATAAAGGAAAATTGTCTACTTGTCCTCTATCAGCAAACCGAAAAAACTGCCTAATATTTCCCTGTAAGTAACCGTAGAAACTAAGGCAATCCACTTTAGCAATTTTTTGAACTTCCAAATGTAAGCAAACATATAGTCCACTGCCGTTGCATTCCTCAGAAAACCATTCTAACTCCCCTACTCCCCGATGAAAATAATAGAATCGCCTCTCTCACAGGCTGCCGTTTTGGGATGTAGATGCTAGTGGCAGGATATCAAGTACTAGGGGCGTGGCCAGTTTCCACGTGATGAGCTTTGAGACATCTGAGTGGTACTGAAAAATCGTACTTTACCGAAAATAATATGTCACTTCATATATTTCTTCTATAGTAAGTACACTAACGCCAGATTCACCTATAGGATGTTGAATAAAAAACAACAAAAATCCTAACAAAATTGTGTCCGGTAACTTTTTTAATAGAGAAGTAACGTTATTCTAATTTAATTTCTTTTTGAGTGTAGGTGTCTCCTGAAGAAGCAAGACGTAGACAAGAATATTTGAAACAACAAAGAGATAAGTTGTTAGCTCTGAAAAAACAAGAACGAGAGAAGCTGCTTCAGCGATATGAAGAAACTTCCCCCAGCAGACCGAAATCCGCCCGGGCAGCACAAAGAGCAGTTCAGGAAGAGAAAGCCGACTCAACTGTTGATCCTAAAGTATTGGCCTTTCGGAAATCTTTAGCCGCTCGTTTAAAAGCTGAAGTAGTAGGTAAGCAGTTTAATATTGTTAGCGAAGTATTTTAGCAAAATCTCGTCTCAGGTGGCTGAGGAGGAAGACCTTGCAACCTTGAAAGTTCAGAATTACAGTTCAGCATGTTTTAGAACAGTTGGCCATTAAACGCTTTTCTCATCTAAAGAATATTAAAAAAATTTAAAAAAGAAAAAATTGAAAGATTTCAGATTTTAATAGTTTGTCAAGGTGTTTTACACTTTGACAAACTACACTTGACACTTTAACACGTTGAGCTCGCAATTTACTAGTCTGCTCTTGCACTCACGCCTGATAACAATTTTTATTTATTTATTTATTTATTGTGTCCTTTGAGCTTTATTATTAAGCACCGTTTTCTTTGCACTTACTCCGTATACATTTCAACAACAAAATTTTACACAACAAACAAGCAAATTTTACAGCAAACAAAAATTTTAAAAGCTGAATAGTAGCATATGTTTAGAGTTACCGAGTTAGGCATACATTTTTCTATTTACTTTTAGTCTTTTCTCAGTTTATCATATTAACATTCAGTTTCTTTAGTAACGACTTACGAAGCTTTTTCTTTGGTCTTTTTATTATCAACGTTTCATGAGCTAAATTTATTTACTAAGAATCACATTCTTCGCACTTACACCAGATAAAATTCAGCTCGACAGCAAAATCGCAAAATATTTAAAAACAAGAATATCTTTAATATTTCCGATAGGCAGTCTCGCACGCTGAAAATCAAAACATTCCGTGCACTATTGCCACTGCTTGCTTTCAAATTCTTGAGTTGTTCATCAAAAATTCATTAAAAATTCTGTGTTCTTTTTCATTAACAATATTACCCACTGCTGCCAACTCATAAAATGAAATCCTTGCTGTTGGATAAAATTAATATTTCATTTAAGGAAAATCTTGGTTTTAAAAGTTCGAGGTTTGCTTCTGTATTTCTTAATTGAGCGCAATTTATTTAAACAATATAAACAAACTATTAAAATGTATATTACCGTTTGAACAAAATTAGAAAGAGAAATAATTCAAAGAAGGGGTACACATTACCACAAAATTTCATCATAACCATTCGATTTATTTGACGTGCAAATGATAGGGTAAGCAAAAAATAAAACTGTCAATCTTTTAGTCGGCTTACCATAAAATATTCCTAATGCATTTTTTATAACACCTGTAGGTTGTCTTATGTTAATTAAGCAGTTATTTTGATTTCAGTCTTTACTATAACTTTTTCTTTCCGTATTAATCACTAGAATGTAAATTGGTTGTGAATATTTAAAATGAATTTTTTGGATTTGAGACAGAGAGTTTTTCTTACATGCATGTGCGCTACGTGAGTAATAACTGGCCATACTCGGTAGGCGAGAGTGACGTCACAGAAAAGAGGCTTGGTCTCCTCCATCTTGGAGTTTCTCGAAAGTGACGCATACGTGTTTGAATGACGTCATGCATGATAGTTTTTTTGGGGGGCAATGATAATATTTTAAGCTTTTTGTTTTTGTGGCATGACTTCTCGGACCAAGTATTTTAAAATGACATCATCAGTTTTTTGCTTGGGCATGCTTTTTACAAAATAGCATCAAGAGGGTAGCATCATCCATAAACTGTTCGGCACGTTATTTTACAAAATGGCATCTGCCAAATTCATACCTTCGTATGCCTCCGCTTAGGTGAACGGATATATTTCTGTGGACCAATCAGATTCTCTGAAAAATGACCTGACCGCCTCTTAGTCAATCAATCATTCAGATGAAATACAAAGTTCCAAGCCAAGTTTCAGCTGCTGGTTGCCTCGAAAGTTCATTTCTTGTTTAATTCTGGAAACTGGAATTAAAAAGCAAAACGTGAACTGTGTTTGCTTTGTGATATTATTGTGCATGATGAAACGTCTTACTGCTCGCAAAAATGTTTCACTCTGCTTTAAATGATGAAACTCTGCTGAAGCTTGCTTTGCTAAAGAATATGTTTTATCTCGGAGGAGATATTTTTGTGACTGTATCCTATTTCTTAGGTTTTACTCGTGTTCATGTGCGGAAATAGAAATATGTGACTGATGACAATGATCTGCTACATCCTACCAAAGACGAAGTTTCGCTGTTTCCACTAGTATGGAAAGAATTCTGCAATCATGTAAATACGTTTGCTTCCTTTGAAGATTCTGTGTTTTTATTATAAAGAAAGATGTGTGTATTTCGAAACAAAATGTCAATGGTGAAATAATTATATTCCTACAAAGACTGTATCAAAAAAAAAAAAAAAAAAAAAAAAGATTTTAGATTTTAATTCGTACTGTAACGTGTTCTGTTGAGGAATGAACATTTACTTAAACTGTGCTCAAAATATATTGAAATATGTGCTGTCATGAAGTAAACTGCTTGTTGGTTATACACATTTTGAACGTGAATATGCTGGTGATGCAGACCGTCCAAATGGATTTCATGAGCTGCAGGACTCTTTGTGTAAATGTATTGAGAATTTTTTTTCTGACAAAATTTCAAAACTTTGTGTTTGGGTGCAAAGAAGGTTTTAACAATAAGCTAAGATATGAATGCTTTTCAACAAGTCATGCCGAAAAATGTGAAAATTTTTTTGGCCAGGCTTTGTTTACAGTTAATTGGCCTGAGATGACAATTGATGTAATTCGCTAAAATGAGTGCAATATAAATTTTAGCAAACGAATTGTTACTGATAATTTTTTTATGTTATTAACGTAAATGATGTACTAACTAACGATCAACGTTTGTATGTATGTAAAGAAACTCATTTGTTTAAAGATTTATCAAATAGTTCTTTTCAGAAAGAAATAAATACCAGTTTTTATTTATTTTTTAAAATTTCTTTTGGGTCAAGAAGATTAATCTCAACCACCCACTTATCATGATACAACACTACCAGACATTTATTCGTCTTTAGCCTCTCCATGCGCGCGGCTTTCTTGGTTTTCTTTCTTCTTGTGACGCTGCTCACTCCCCTTTTCCCATTTCCGACGCTTTCTCACTGCCCGTCCAGACTGTTCAACGTCTTGTGCCCTATTGGGATACTCAGTCATAGAGCCGGCAACATCGCGTGCTCTACAGCGACAGCCCGACATAAGAGTATATATATAAAGAAAAAAAAGAAAAAAAAAGAAATTTAAAAAAAAACTTTGCTTACTTTTCAGTGATTCAACATAAACATGAATGTTAATTTTTCACCTGCATATTTTACTTAATAGAAACTAATTAAAATATGTTTGAAAGCGTATTGCAAAATTACTAAGTAGGGACGCTATATAAATGAATATCAGCTTGAATTTCGATCTAACAACTGTTGCAATGGACGTAGCTTTAGCTCGGACATAAGGAGATCCTCAAGTTCCCGGAAGTTTCAGGGATGTGTTTTGCATAGTGCTTTAAGAGGTCGCATGAAAACAAAAAACATACAGAAATGATTGCAAGTGGAAATGGAGAAGTGGAATAGCTGGGTCTTCAAATTTTGAGATTACAGCATCAGGAAGAAGGAAGAGGCCTAGATTTTTGCAAGCTTGTGAATGGGTCAAAGCTTCATGGGATGCTGTGAAAACATAGACAATGGTTAAATCATTTAGGAAGTGCGGCATTAGTAATGCATTGGATGGTACAGAGGACAATTTGCTGTATGAGGACTCAGAATCTGACTTAGAAGAGTTTGCAAGTGACTCTTCATTTAGCTTTGGAGATGAGTGTCTGGCTTTTGACGGAGAAGATTAAAAGGTGTTCTTTCCCAGATAGATTGGGCATTTTCAGAAAGTATTACTTTCTATTTGTATTACTTTATATTTAAAGTACTGTAAATTCATTATAGTGATCAGTAATAGAGTTTTAGCTTCAAAAATGTGTATAAAAAAGGGGGTGCATCTTATACGCCGGCAAATACGGTAATTTATTTTAACATTTAAAATATTTCCATATAATCTTAATTAGGACGATCGGCCTGTACAGAATTTCATTTAGCAGCAACATACTTTCTTATGGGAACATCAATCATCTGTTTTGTATTAGTCTTGACACAGTAAATGACCAAGATGGAGCTTTCTTATGGGACGCTTTCGAGACGATTTCTTATAAGAACATCAATCATCTGTTTTGTATTAGCCTGATGCAGTTTATGACCAAGACGCAGCTACCCGTGGGTGATAAGTTCCGATGAGGATAACTTTGAATGAAGCTGACGCACTTCCATTATTAGTCGGACTGAAGAACTCTTTCGAAGATTTGTACAGCGACATATTTATTCTGAAGTGATTAGAGAAGATTTCTAAGCTTATCCGTCGCGCCCCTCTTTTACCGCTTCAAAAGGAAATTGTAATGCGAACTTAACTCAGGAAGGAAATGTTGCAGACCCTAAATAAATCGTTATTCGAATCCATGGAGTAGAGAAATTTTGTTTCGTTCTCTACTTCGCGATCTCCTTACTGGCTGTTCACCATAGGGGATCCTCTTCTCTTCTTGAAAGATGTTCGCTCCTCCTTCTCTAGGTCTCCGCTAGCTCCAGGTCTCCCCAGGACTTAAAACAAAAGGGCTAGCTCATAGAGCTTTCCCCCCTGAAACAGGCAGTGGATAGTGATGACGTAAGTATGATTACACTGAGCGCGGAGATGCAATTGACAGCGTAGAAATTAGCGTTTTAAATTTGAAGAACCAGCGTTTAAAATGAGCTGCGTGTCAAAAATATCTATAATTTGGAAGAGAAAATGTTACTGCAGTATGCATTTTACACTGAACATTAAAAAATTTAATAGTACTTACTCAATTTTAAAATAACAGATAAAGCTGGCTGATTTTTTTTCTTTAAATGCCTGTTTTGTTTTCTAACATTTCTTTATCTGAATGTTAACTAAGAGAACTCTACTACTGCTTCTAAGATAACTATAATAACAGCTATTTAAAATGAATCAAAAAACAACCTGAAACTGACATAGTTTAAAATATGTATGGTTATAATGGCAAAATTTCTGCTAATCTAAGTTTGAGTTTCAG